GAAAGAACGCCAGGTAAATTCCATACTGCAGCCGAGTAAAGCTCTCGAGTGGGACACCATCAATGAAGCCACCTGATCACCATATAAATGGTGATAAGCTCGCGTCAAAAAGACCAGACGCGAAAAGCGGAGGAGAAGACCATACCAGCCATGTACTGGACTGGTCCGATCTGCTGGAAGAGGCAGAGTCGTGGAAAACACCCCGAGTTCAGACACTGAGCAAGCAGCGCCTGAAACCAAGGCTGGGCCGGCCACCAAGGACCAAGAAGACTACTCTCCCATGGTACAACTCCAACTGAGCTAGAACCTGAAGCAACAGCTGGACCGGAGGGAAGAGGTACAGGTAACTCCACCTCGACCAGTCCTGCCGGAAGGTGTCTACTGCAAATGCTCTGTGGTTGGGGAAGGGCACCACATATATCAAGAGATGCCGTGACCATTCCGTGGACAAGGGAATGAACTGAGACAGGCTGTCCGCCAGGACGTTTGACACTCCCCGGATGTGAACAGCACGGAGAGCCAAACCCCGAGAATCCAATAGACGAGTCACTCGAAGTGACCAGCCCCAAAGAGGCAAGGACCGAAAAGAACCCCCGCGGTTCAGGCAATGAGGATGGAGCCGAACATTCGAGACCTGAGCAACCCAAACCCTCTGAAGTGACAGCCAGACCATCACAAACTCCCACATCATGCTGTGAGCCCGACGGAAGGATGGATCCCACCCCCCATCCTCAGATGGGCCTGGTGAGCACTGGTCACAGAGCCCAAACCGAGAGGCGACGCGTCCGTGAACACATCAAGTAAATGCTCAGGTAGGCGCCACTGAACCCCGAAAAACCAGAAGAGGAAGCCGGTGATGCAGCAACCGACGCAAGGCCCCTGGAGTCCAAACCCAGTGATTGTGAGAGAGGCGGAAGGGGCATCCCCCGAAGGAACCAGAACAGACGCCGAAGTACCTAACCAGTCCCTAAACCTCAGATGAATGGGAACATGCCAATAAGCGTCCCGGAGGTCCTTAGATACCATCCAGGCACCCGGCTCCAACAGAAGCCAGACCTGAGACAGAGTAGTCATCCAAAAGGAGGGGCAAGAAATCCAGGGGTTCAGATGGGACAAGTCCAGAATGAACCTCAGATACGCACAGTCCCGCTTTGGCACTGGAAACAAGCGGGAAACCCGTTTGAGGGACTGGATCGTTTCGACCACGCCCAAGCATACCCACTCCAAGAAGACCTGACGGAGCGAAGGGGAAGAAGACTGCCCCGCCAGCCCCGAACCCCCCCCCCCCATCAGAAGGAGGAGGAGCCGCCCAATGCCACCACAGGCCGGTGGGAAACCCGAAATGCCCACAAATTGTGGGACCAAGTGTGAGCAAACAGTGCAAGCCTTTCCCTCCCCCCCCCCCCCCCCCATTGCCCCATCAGTGGGGTGAGCTGTGAAAGGGCCAACGCCCCTTACGAGAAGCCGACCGGCGAACAGAGTGATCACCACGCCGACCAGACGACGCCGGCTCCAACGGCAACGTTGGCTCAGAAACTGGCACCAATGACCCACCCCGACCGGAGGAACCCCGATCCCTGGCATCACTCATCCGAGATGGCCGAGAACGGCCACCCCAGAGAACCAACAAGTCTGATATAGGAAAACAACTAGATGAAACCACCTGCAGAAACTGCAGGACCGCAGACTCCACAAACAGCAACGGACAAAATGCTGATGAAAACCTAAGAGCCAGGGCCCAAGCGGATTCCAAAGAGAGAGCGAGCAGAGCCTGCCGGCACGAAAGGCAAGAAGCAAAAAAACAGACACCACCACCTGTGAGAATCGGTGCAAACAGCCGCAACAGTGCAGCCGACGCCCTAGCCGCCGACACCAGTGCACCCAACGAAGGCCCGGCACTCAACACCTTCAATCCTTCTCAAGCCAGTCTGAGGACAACTTGAGAAGGGAAAAGAAGCGCAAGACCGAAGCCAAATGCCCCCCCCCCCTCCACGGGTGTGTAAGTCCTCAGCTACCAAAGACCCTGTAAGGGTGGGAACTGGCACGTACAGCTGTACAAGGTCAACATCCTTAGGAAGCACAGGGGTGAACAAGCATGCATTAAGGTGCTCAAGACCGCCCCCGAAGTAAACCTGCAGAACGGTAGAAGTTTCTCGCCAATCAAGCGTGCGGATCTGACAGAACCCATGTAATGCCCCCAACGAAAAGAATGGGCAGTCTACCAGCCAGGATGACTCCGTAGCCTCCAAACGCACCCAAAACGGGAAAGAAGAGGATGAGTGAGGTCAGTGAAGGATGGATCTGGGATCCATCCTCAACTTAATTGAGGATGGATCCATGACAGAGGCAGAATCCAGGTCTCGCAGGAGGTAAGCAGCAAGCACCTCCCGAATCTCCTTAGGCGAGATACAAGAGGCAGAAAACCTCCGGAAAAAGGGAGCCGAGGAACCCGGAACTGAACCCGGGAGCCGGTGGCTGAGCGGACAGAACACTGGATGCGTGATCCTGTGGTCCCAGGTTTGATCCCGGGCGCCAGCGAAAAACAGTGGGCAGAGTTTCTTTCACCCTGATGATCCTGTTACCCAGCAGTAAATAGGTACCTGGGAGTTAGTCAGCTGTCACAGGCTGCTTCCTGGGGGTGGAGGCCTGGTCGAGGACCGGGCCGCAGGGACACTAACTCTCGAAATCATCTCAAGATAACCTCAAGATAACCAGGGAGGAGTTGACCCCAAATCACACTCATGCAGGGAAGAGGGGTAAGAAAACCCTCCCTCTGCAACAAGAAGCTCTGCAAAGAGGGCACCAACAAGGGGCCTAAGCCCCCAAAGTCAACTCCTCCCCAGCCCCAGGATCCCCCAAGTCAGAACCCGGGGCAGAGCAGTCCTCCATACCCTCTACCCCCTTGAAGAAAAGGCAGAGTCCAGGGAAGAGTCAGAAAAGAAGGGGGGCCTGCTGGTGGGACCCAGAAGCCTCGGCAAAAGGAACTGGCTCAAATGCCTCAGTCCCCAACCCGAATGGGGCAGCCCCCGAAGCTGCCTGAGTCTCATTGCCAACTGCTCCGACTCCAAAACCCTCAGACGTTTGGGAGCCGGAAGCAGGGAAGGGGGAGGGGGGGGTGTAAGGTGAACAACAGGGAAAGGACCAGGGAGCATGGACTGAACCAAAGTCGAAGCGACGACTAACGCCCCCAAGTCCGGGTCTAACCAGACTTGGTTTGATAATCACAAGGGGCAGCCTCGGGGCATCCAGGTGGGCAACTAACCTTCCACGTTGCAGCATCCTAAACCTAACATGCAACACGGATGCCTCCTGTGGCCCGAATATCAATGGTATCAGAATGGGTAAATTTAAGAACATACACAGAACAAAACCCAGAAGACTCCGGGTCAAAGGTGTCGTTGACCCAACAAGCAGCATGATGGAGGCAAAAGCGGTGACTGTCATTCTGAGACAAGGGCACACAGCAACCTTTAAACTCGCATGAGGTGAGCTGGAACTCGGGAGGTGCATCCACAGGTCCATCGAGCCCCAACAGGTTTTTCCAGGGCCTGTAGGCTGACTGCAACGGAAAGCCCGGGCAAGGTGTTGCTAACCGGTTAGACCCCAAAGCTAACAAGGGAAAAGATCAAACACTGAAACCCCTGCAATGTGTACAATCATGGGGATTAGCAGAGGACCACCAAATTATGATTAGTGGTCCAATAGCCACACCAGGCGAAGCAAAAAAAAAAAAAAAACGCAATAGTACAATAGAGGAAACAGGAACTGGCCTCTGCGTAGGTAGCTGGTTGAACAACACCTTGATCCCCCAACCAGCAACAATACCACTCCCTTCCCAAGGCTAAACAAGGGCCACGAAACCCCCAGCTGGTCCCAAGGGCGAGGTAAATGCTGAGCAGCAAGAACCACTATGGAGGTGGCTTCCCGAGCGCACTAGGGAAGAGAACCCTGACATGCAAGGGCACTTAGGCTAAACACCACTAAGGCAAAACACTTCGTAGGAAATTGAGGCCAGAAATGATGACCATCCTGGATTGCATTAGCAGATGAACTGGAATGGCTGGGTCCCCGGCGCGGAGAGGCTGAGTGGACGAGCAATGCGGCAGTGGAGTGTGACATTTGCTTGTTTGCTTGTTTCCTTGGGATTGAAGGGAGTTCTACTTTCCTGTTCGGTTTTTGGTTGCAATTTTCTTATTGTGTGGGGTTTGTTTTGTTATGCCTATCTTTCTGGGTGCCTAATCCTGGTCAATGGCAGATAAGGAAAACCCCCAACGACAGGGGGGGGGGGGTTTCTCCCTGGGCCATTGCTCCCTGTGCCTCTCTGAGGGTGGCCAGGTTCTGGCTCCTGGTCCCCTGGTAGGCTGAACTCCTATGACTAATGCCCTGGTCTAATGAATTGCATATTAGCCCTATACCTCCAGGGAGCCGAAGGGGCTCCCCACAAAAAAAATAGTTTTACTCAGAAGTAATATATTTTTATAACAAAATTAGATGAAACTAAGTGGTAGGTGATGCCATCGGAAGTCGACGAGCCAAGCGACAGTGTTGTGGAGCGACTTATCCGAGATATATTGTTGCCTGGAGAGTGTTTACTGGTATAGTATATCAGCCTCCTGTGCCTCACCTCACCTCACCTCCAGACAACAATATATCTTGGATAAGTCGCTCCACAACACTGTCGCTTGGTTCGTCAACTTCCTATGGCATCACCTGCCACTTAGTTTCATCTAATTTTGTTATAAAATTATATTATTTCAGAGTAAAAATGTTTTTTTATATTCTACATTCTGCACCAACATTAGAGGGAGTAAATATATCATATTTCTTCATTTACTGTACTTACCTAATGCTAGGTAGCTTGGGTAATTAGACGGACTGCTACAAGACACGGTTGAGATGCCAAGCACTACAGGGAAGCCCTACTCAACCATTAGTGTTGTATGAAGTGTTTGTTAATGCAGTAATGTGATGTGTTTGCTGATTATATCTGTTTTCCACAGCAACCAGAGCAGCTTAGAGGCGGAGTGGGCAGTACGTGTGCTGCACCCACCATCACTCCCACACCCACCAACTTGTACCAGCACCAGAGACAGGTTAGTGATTGGTTCATTGGTGACCTCTTTAGTGAGGTGATGGTATTGGCCTGTGGCCACCAAGGTATAACACCTTCTTCTTCTTCCTCTTCTTCTTCTTTTTCTTCCTCTTCATCTTCTTCTTTCTCTTCTTCTTTCTCTTCTTCTTTCTCTTCTTCTTCTTCCTCTCCTCTTCCTCCTTTTTCCTCTTCTTCCCCTTTTTCTTTTTCTTCTTCCTCTTCTTCTTCCCCTTCTTCTTCCTCTTCTTCTTCCTCTTGTTGTTGTTGTGATTGTTGTTCTTCCTCTTCATCTTCTTCCTTGTCTTCTTCTTCTTCCTCTTCTTCCTTTTCTTTTTTCTTCCTCTTCATCATCATCATCATCATCATCATCATCATCATCATCATCATCATCATCATCATCATCATCATCATCATCATCATCATCATCATCATCATCATCATCTTCCTCTTCTTCTCTTCTTCTTCTTCTTCTTCTTCTTCTTCTTCTTCTTTACTCTTCTTCTTCCTCCTCCTCTTCTTCCTTTTCATCATCATCATTATCTTCTTCCTCTTCCTATTCCTCTTCTTTTCTTCCTCTTCTTTTCTTCCTCTTCTTTTCTTCCTCTTCTTCCTCTTTCTCTTCTTCCTCTTTCTCTTCTTCCTCCTCCTCTTCTTCTTCTTCTTCTTCATCCTTATCCTGATCCCTTCCAAGTGCAATATAGTCATAATGGCTTGGTGCTTTCCCCTAACAATTCCCTCCCCTTCCTCCTCCTCTTCTTCTTCTTCATCTTCTTCCTCTTCTTCTTCCTCTTCCTTCTTTTATTCTTCTTTTATTCTTCTTCTTTTATTCTTTTTCCTCTTCTTCTCCTTCTTCTTCTCCTCCTCCTCCTTCTGTCTCTCTCTCAACATTTCATCTAGACATATTTCATTGAATATGAATACTTTGGCCAGCTTAGCAGTCTCCGTGGTGTAGTGGTAAGACACTCGCCTGGCGTTCCGCGAGCGCTATGTCATGGGTTCGTATCCTGGCCGGGGAGGATTTACTGGGCGCAATTCCTTAACTGTAGCCTCTGTTTAACGCAACAGTAAAATGTGTACTTGGATGAAAAAACGATTCTTCACGGCAGGGGATTGTATTCCAGGGACCATAGGATTAAGGACTTGCCCGAAACACTACGCGTACTAGTGGCTGTACAAGAATGTAACAACTCTTGTATATATCTCAAAAAAAAAAAAAAATATATAACTGCATATTCTGTGATAATTATTTTCTTGTTTAGGGCTTCTGTCCCTCTGACTAGTACTCTTTCATCTTGGTTTAATTGGAAGAGGATTCTCCAAATGTCATCTTTGTTCTAGATAAACTAAAAGAATAATTCACTGTAGAATGTATTACACTTATTATAAATTTACACAATGTTTCGAACCTACATGGTTCATTCTTCAAGTGATGGGAATGTACGTTGTTGCTTTAGATTCAGCTACTCTGAATAAAATTTCCATGTAGTATGTAGAACACTCACACTCACACTCACTCCCACACTCACACAAAGGTGTTGTGTATGCAGGTGATGGTTTATTCAAAGCAAACACAGCAGTAACAAGCATTGTTTATGCAGGTGGCAGGGTCATCATCAGGCTATGCTTCTCTGGGAACACTAGGATCAACATCGTCTCCCCAGTATGGCCACCAGTACCCTCCACCGCAGCAGTTTGGTCTGCAGCACCTCTCGGCAGTCTCTCACCTGGCCAGTATGCAGCAACAACAGCAGCAGCCACAGCAGTACCTCAAGCAGTCCGCCTTCAATTCACAGTCTACATATGGCCAGTTTGGACCAGCCTCTTTTAACACCATGTGTAAGGGTTTAAACAGTTTTGTTAGTGTGGATGCTTCTGATGTTCAAAGAGCTATCCTCATAATTGGTGAGAATCATCAGCAAAATTATAATGGCCAAACTTTGTGGTACTGTAGCCAAATAAAAACCCATAGGAATCTTCATATTCTATTTAATGCATTTTTTAAGCAAAATCTCATATTTTGGTGAGTTTGACATTGTAGAAAACATTATCTCCGAGAGCCCAGGTAAATGTAATGTTGATTTCCACGGAAGTCTGGATGATAATTTATTAAACACATTGTGTATTGATCATATATGTTAGACTTGAGTTTCATGCATTTCAAAAGAGTATGAGGTGCTGAATATTGTTTACATAGTATGACTTGGTGGAATGAGATGTAAGCAGGCTATCACTCACCTCTGTAGAGGGGAGTGATAGCCTTGTCATATTATAAATAACAAATATTTGAGTTAAGTTGTGGTAACTTAGTTTCTTTCAATGAATTCAAAGTATGACTGATCTTATAGCTTACAGTTGATGTTACTGACAATGTGCCCCATTTTCTTATTATGGCACAGCTCAGGGTGGAGTATCACGGGCGCCCACGTTAGGAGCCCGCACACCCGTGCCGCTGCATGATGTGGCAGGGGCAGCGACCATTGGACCCATGGGTGGGGGAACCGTTGCTCCATCAGGCATGGGGCTGGAGAGCTCAGAAGATGATGCAGAGCGACCCTATCACCTGCCACGGCCAAAGTCTCGTGTCTCCCTTGGGGTGGGTACCCTCGCACCACCCAACTCTCGCATCGCCCGAAGCTACAACTCTCTCCTCTTCTAGTGGTTAGCATGCCCAAAGGCACCACCCATACTGGGGGCGGGATGGGGCACGCTTATCACCTACAGGGCACTATTGTTCCTTAGCAGGGCATGGCGGCATGGGTCATGTGGATCACCTTTTCTTATGCCCATGAGTACACGTGTTCTCTTACTCTTACCCACAAACATTTTATCTTTACCTTCCTAGCAAAGTCTTTTCTTTATTATTGTCTACTTCTCTTCAGATACCTCTATTATGACAATGTTCTACATCATTTTAACTACATCCATAACCTCACTTGTTCAGTCTGTACACTACTCACTGCCTGTCTGACTCAGAAGAGTACTCACTGCCTAACTCACTTAGCGCATTACTCATTTGTTGCACGATTCAATACATTATTGTCTTAAACTGCTCTTAAACTTGTGGGTTACTAACTATGCTGAGACAATACACCAAGACTAAGCCTTTATCAGGGGGCATTTATTATAGACTGAAAAAAAGGCTTAAACCTTGGTATAAATTTTTGTCAAGTGCTTGTTGACAGTGCCTGCTTTTTGTAGACGTGGTCCACTGCTTCCCCCCCCCCCACTCCCTGACTCATTACACCACTCACTGCTTGACTGACTCACTACATTGCTATTTCAAAGTGTACTCATCATTGACTCATTGCACTGTTCTTGCTGTAACGGCTCTAGACACTTCGTGCACTGATGATGCTACGCTGTTCATTCAATTTTGACTCGCTACACTTCTTACACTGCTGACTCACTACACAGTTTCTACACTGCTGACCAACTACAATGTTTCTACACTGCTGACTCGCTACACTGTTTCTACAGTTGACTCACTACAGTCTCTACACTGTTGACTCACTACAATGTTTCTACACTGTTAAGTCATTACACTGTTTCTAGACTGCTCACTCTCTACACTGTTTCTATGCTTTTGACTCACTACACTGTTTGCTTGGTATCATCATTGCTTCTCTGGATAGATAGTAGCTAATAGTTTGCTGGTGTAGCCTGATTGTTGAGAGTTTATGTTTGTAATTATAGAATTGTAGTTGCAGGATGAGAATTGCACTCATGGTCCAATTTCCACTTATTGTATCTTGTACAATAACTATCCGTGCCAAAGTTCCAGTTCTCTGTCATACTTGCTCTTAAAGCTGTAAATGCTGGTTGCTTCCACCACCCCTTGTTGAAGATCTTTGCACTTGTTTATCATTCTCACTACATACCAGTATTTCCTTACAGTTTTCTGGCCTATCTATGTTTCCAACTTCCACCTGTGCCCATATCCACTTTGTATCCCTGAGTATTTCATATCTTGTTGATCACATTATCATTTTGGCCGTCTCTCTCCCAATGTCATCATTTAGTTCACATAGTTTATCCTCACTGCTCATTTCTCTAATATCTGGCACCTGTCTTATTGCAAATCTTTGGACCTTCTCTATATTCTTCTTGTGCTTTACCAATTGTGGGTTACACACTGGAGCTGCATACATTAGGGCTGGTCTAACATATATTATGTATTACTGTATACCAATTGTGGGTTACACACTGGAGCTGCATACATTAGGGCTGGTCTAACATATGTTGTGTAATTACCTAAGTGTAATTACCTAAGTGTAGTTACAGGATGAGAGCTACGCTTGTGGTGTCCCATCTTCCCAACACTCTTTGTCATATAATGCTTTGAAATTACTGACGGTTTTGGCCTCCACCACCTTCTTACTTAACTTGTTCCAACCGTCTGCCACTCTGTTTACAAAAGTGAATTTTCTTATATTTCTTTGGCATCTTTGTTTAGTTAGTTTAAATCTATGACCTCTTGTTCTTGAAGTTCCGGGTTTCAGGAAATCTTCCCTATCGATTTTATCGATTCCTGTTACTATTTTGAACGTAGTGATCATATTGCCTCTTTTTCTTCTAGCTTCTAGTTTTTGCATATTTCATGCGTCTAACCTCTCCTCGTAGCTCTTGTCCTTCAGTTCTGGGAGCCACTTAGTGGCATGTCGTTGCACCTTTTCCAGTTTGTTGATGTGCTTCTTAAGATATGGGCACCACACAACCACTGCATATTCTAGCTTTGGCCTAACAAAAGTCATGAACACAAGTTCATTCAAGAACACAAGTTCACAAGTTCAAGAACTTGTACACAAGTTCTTGAGCCTGTTGGGCTCTATCCTATATACATTTGAAACTGTGTATGGAGTTTGCCTCCACTACCTTGCTTCATAGTGCTTTCTGTTTGTTAACTATTTTGATGCTTAAAAAATTCTTTCTGATGTCTCAGTGGCACATTTGGGTACTCAGTTTTCACCTGTACTCCTTTGTGCAAGTATCACCCATGCTGAATAATCTGGGTTTATTTACTCTGTCAATTCCCCTGAGAATTTTGTGTGTGGTAATCATGTCTCCCATAACTCTTCTGTCTTCCAGCAACATGAGGTTTATTTCCTATAGCTTTCCTCTTACCTATCAGTTCTGAGACTAGTTTGTTGACATACTTCTGAATTATTTCTAACTTCATCTTGTGCTAGATTAAATATGGACTCCATTCTAGAGCTGTAGACTCCAAGATTGGTCTAATATATATGATATACAAGGTTCTGAATAATTCCTTACAAAAATTTGTAAAGGCAATTCTTATGTTGGCCAACATAGCATTTGCTACTGAAGATATTTTTTGAAATGGGCTTTAGAAGATTGCCCCATTTCAAAACTTTTGAAATGGGGCAAATATATATACACAGCTGTCACCCATACAGCTGTTTCACACACACACAAATCTTGTACTCACTTGGCACACTTACACTCTAATTTTGTTCATTTTTCATAATTTACTCACTCAAAATTCTGACATATTCGAAGTTGGTAATACTAGTGATGTACAAAACAGCTGCTCAAGTACTTGCCATCAGCCATAGCTTTGATATTCATCCAATCTCTTGAGTCACAAACCTTTTCTGATACATTAAAATGAGTAGTAATAACTGCAGTGCACAAAGTAGGTGAAATGACTGGCATAGACAACTAAAGACCAGTATGAAACCAACTAATATTATAAAGAAAATTGTAACAAATATATACAAACAGCTGTTCTCCTACCTTGTAAAATTCAATACAGTAAGCTCTAGCCAGATTGGCTTCAGATCCCTAAAAAACATTAATGATGTCGTTGTTAGATTATTTGACTTAATCCACACAACCCTTGACAAAAATCAATTCCAAATTGGCCTCTTTGTTGACTTGAGAAACGCCTTTGATACCATGAATCACAATGACCTCCTACTTGAACTTCCACATTATGGAATCCAAGGCCTCACTCTTACCTATACTGTATCTGATCATATGTCAACAACAGACACCAGTACATATTCATCAATGATGTAACCTCTCTCGCTCTCCCATTAACCAAAGGAATGCCACACGGCAGCAGTTTATGATCACTCTTATTTCTGATAAACCTCACTGGCTTACTAAATGATTCTAACCTTCTTAAACCTCAAATATTTGCTGAAGACACTAGCTTCATCTTCTCTAGCCCTAACCCACACGCCGTCAATTGCATGATAAATATTGAATTGAAAAAGTTATCAACCGAATATCGACTAACACCCTCACATTAAACATAGAAAAGCCCTATTACTGTTTACCTGAATTTACCCAAGTTTACCTAAATTGTCTAACCAAATAGATCTTCAAATGAATAGTGTAAAAAATAAGAGTTAACATTGGCTTGTTTGTAATATTCTTGGTGTATGTCAGAGATACAGTTCAGTTGCCAGATGTACGAGTCATCTGTTGGACACATGTATGATTAATTTGTTGGACACATGTATGATACACCTGTTGGACAGGTGTATAATTTAGCTATTGAGACATGAAACATTTCCTGGAAGATGATGTGTGTAGTTAAAATTCCAAACATGATTTGGCTGTCAATCAAAGATCCAGGTACCAGACAAGACATATGACTCACACAAGAAGTGCACAGTTCACCCACCAGATGTATAATTCACAGCCTACAAAAAGTGTAATTCAAGGGCATGATATGATTTATCTGCCATACATAGTATATAGCATCTATACATATGATTCAGCACTCAGAAGTGTGATTCACATGTACCGTACTAGATATATAATTAAGGTGTCGGGGTAAGATTCAACTGTTAGGGTTATTATTCATCTGTCATCATAGGTTTGATTCATAGGTCTTGTGTATGAGTAATGTATCAGATATAAAATTCAGCAGTTAGGTGTGAGATTAAGCTGTCAGATGTATGATTCAGCTGTCAGACATATTACCTTTAAGGATTCCGGTACAGTAGTAGACATTTATTCAGCTGTCACTGTATGCTTAGCTCTCAGATATATGATGTAGCTGACAGAGGATTAAGCTGACCGACAGACAGGCTTAAGCTATTAGGTGTACGATTCCATTACCAGCCATAACATTTACCAGTTAGTAATGCTGACAGCTTACAGCTAGATAGTGTATATGGTACAGTTGGCCGATCACACACACACATGGCGTGGTTCACATGCCAGACATATGACTGTTAGTCTTGGTAGTCTATTTTCTCCACAAGGGTTCTCTCTCTTGTTATTACCTGTTGTTGTTGTTGTGATTTTTCAATAGCTATATTTTTGTTATACCTTTTAGAACAAGGATCTATATGTCATTTCTTATAGATTGTTTATTTTTGTATGTTTTGTTTAGGAGAAACTATTAGAGAATCAGTTGTCTCTGATTCTCTATAGAGCTATAAAAGAGCTATAAAAACGTTTATAGCTCTTTTTCTTCTTGTATACAGTCATGGAAGGTTCTGTATAATATTGCATTTTCTTATAATTGTTTCTATTTTCTAATTTCATATTGCCCAGGTTTTTGAACATTCGTACTAATAATTTGTATTGTGATCAGTAATAGAACTTGCTCCTTAACTAATATCTCGAAAATACCGTTGAATTTGTTTTAAGACTCTAAAAAAGGAAATACAGTATTATCTCTTAGTTCAAGTTAAAATATTTTACCCCCAAATACCATTTAGTTCAAAGAAAAAAAGCTAATAGCCAGGGAAAATTATATAAAATCATGAGTAATAATAAGTAAACACTACAATACACTGTACAGTACATTATATTGTACAGTATGTTACAATGTATAGTACAGTGCACTGTACTTTAGAAGATTATCTGAAAAGAATCTGACCCGGGTACAAGTTTCGTGCACAATATCCAGATCAGTATTCGGATAGGCAATTTAGGCATTGATTTCTGGCACAGGTACTGTATAATCAGATGCTGTTGGCATCAGCATGTATATTTGTTTGAAAAACTATTACCTTACTCAACTATATAAGCCTACCCAGCCCCTTGCACAAATCTGAACAATTAATATGGATTCAACATTCATTAAACATTACTCGAGCATGTTTTGCCTGCTGGGAAGCTATCACATCTTAAGTAAAGTGAAAGATTGGAGAAATAGAATGTTTATTAGTGTGAGAATTCATGACATTTAATCTTGCATGTGTATCAGTGGCCAACTCCTTCACATTCGTCTTGTGCCCTCCCTTTGTTACTTACACATGCATAATCAACCCATCCACAGGAATCAAATAATAAATGCAATAGATGGTTTTGCAATGCCACGATCTATACAAATAGGAAATTTGCATCATGAAACATTATCTGACAAAGCAATTGGTAGACAGTCATATAATGTTTACTTTCACTCTTTTGATCAAATAAACCGTCCTGCTATGCCATCATAAAGTAAAATATAGGAAAAATTAAGTTTATTAATTAAAAAATTAATGAATAACATGTAAATCAATGAATAACATGTTATGTTTGTATCCAATTTTCATGGAAGTGTACCAGGAGGGATGAGAGGCCTGGACAGTGGCTGGCTCAAATCCTTTGCTGTCTTTATATCTAATTTGCTGTCCAGTACTAATATACAGTATTAACAGTACTAATATGGTGTCCAGTACAGTAATATACTAAGTATTTTTCAATGAATAGTATTGTAATTGCTCTCGTTCTATTCATAAATATAAGCAAAATCCTTGAAAATAGCTTTGTATTCATTCAGGGATCAGCAAGACAACTGGCTCCTTTATATTTCCATATAAAAAGCTTAAAAGATTACAAATATTTTTTCTTGATAAGAGTTGTTGGATTAATAATGGTTTGCAATAAAAAAGAAGGCTAAATCATTACAAAAATGCACATAAGTTGTGTTGATATCACGTTATCCTCATAGTATAACATGCAATACAATTATATTATTTTGCATGTCATTGGTAATTTTAGGAAAAAGTAATATGTATCTTGGACAAGTTATGCCTTCCCAGTTTGGTGCCTTCTTTTGATAATTACTTACTTACTTGGACAAGTTATATGAATATTTAATATCAGAATATTATTGTAGCTTATTAAATTAAATTTTCAGAAATTATTGTACGAATGCTTTGAGAATCTGGGCGAGGGGTGTGCGAGTGGACTAATGTATTGCTTCTTTGACCCACACAGGATACGAGTGATATATATTACGAGCCAGATGACCTGACCTCGACTCTGGGCCTCCCCGACCGCCCCCCTCCCCCACTCCCCAAATCCAGTCATCCCCAGACATACAATTTTCCCTTCTTGCACTGATCTGTCCCCAAAAACTACTAGATTATGATATTCAGCATATGTAGTACACTCAGGGTGCTACAGTCAAATGATATGTACTAATGTTTTGTATTAGTTTTACAGATATACTTTTTAGTATCCATAATTCATATATTTGTTATTTTTTTTACATTAATTAAAAACTATGGGCACTTTCTACCTAATGCTATGGGTAATGTCACAATACCAGCATATTGCATCGTCATATGAGTGAGTGCACCATCCACCTCGCGGTCAAGCAGTCAAGTAACCAAGATGAGAGCACCAAGAGCCATGTTGAGTGATGGACAAAAGCATTAGAGTAACCATTAAGAGTTGCCAGTTTTCACCGTGCACTTTGTTCATCGCCGAAACTTGGCAACTGCATACTGACTGTAGCACCTTCATACACTATTTAAAATGCCTTGGAATTTATTGTATTATTTCTACATTAACTGTATTCTATAAGGAGACAGTTATCACCAACACAGACGTGACTAGTAAAGTTTATATATTGGACATTGTCATTCAATCTTCTATGTCTGTCTATATATTTTGACTAACATCATCAAAAACCTATCATTATTTTACACAAAACATTGTGTGGACATTTTCATTTGGCAGATAATGTTTTAGGTGCACAAATGTATAAAACTTGTATCAAATTCATCTTTATTTGAATTGTGTGTGTGTCCACATTTACACTGATGCTGTACATTAACATTTACCACTTTTATAGCACTACAGAATATTATAATTTGCAAATTTGAATGCCACTGCACGATAATATTTACAACCTTGTATGATGCTGTATGAAAACATTTACACCTATATGTTACCCAGAAACTCCCTCCCCCCTCCCCCATTCTCTCTCCCTCCCTCACTCTTCCCCCTTTCTCTCCCCCCCTCTCTCTTTCTCTCTCTCACACACACACACACACACACACATACATACATATATATTATATATATATATATATATATATATATATATATATATATATATATATATATATATATATGCAATATTGTATAAACTGAACTTTTCTCAATCAAACAGTTTCAGATGCTCGAGTCTACAAAGTATTCCAGGGTACTAGCATTTAACTTCATTATTCAGTTTTATAAGTTATGAGTGAATGCATTTTTTTTCCTGTAAAATGTTCTATTACATTAGTGACAACCTTCCTTTATTAAGTATTGTAGTCTCTAATTTATTTATCTATTACTATATTTATTACCTACAGTACGTATTTTCATGCTCGTCTTGGACTCGACGAATAGTGCAGGAATGTTCCAGGTATTTGGCTTTGCTGTATAGTGTCCAGCTCCTGGAAGATATTTCATTATTGTAGCCAAATATAACTTACCCCAGAAATTCATAAATGCACATTTGTCTTCCGGTAGAAAATTTACATTTTTATTTTATGGTGCATAATTTGCAGTGACTATGGACATGCCATTGAGTCTGGAAAAGTGAGCAGGTGATATTGCTGCTCTTTGGGCTGTGATACAAGTTTGCTACAGCAATTGGCTTATTATAGGTTGTGAGTGATGACCCCCTCTCTGCTCCCTCTCCCCCCCCCCCTTCCCATTACAATAATTCTGTACATAAATAATCTTTTTGTGTAATTCAGTCGTACAGTAGTTACAATATTTCCAATATACTGTATCCATAAAAACTTGATGTGAACCTTCAAAATAAATCCAGAAACAAGATCTCTGAATTTCAGGATTGGTATCTCTGACAAATTATAATTAATAAGAAAGATGTGTAAATTCGGCTGTTGCAGCTATGACATGACATATATCGTTGCTCTCCTCCTCCAGTCGGTTGTAAACAACAACCATTAAGGACTTAAAATAGGAGGCATCTAAGAAGTATATCATACCTGTAATTATCATTTTTTGTGCTAGATGAAGCCAATGATTTACATGTTAGTTTTGATAGTGAGCACCAGGAAATATGAATTGCATTGTTACCTATACCGTTGTGGCCCGGTTGCCGTTTTGTACCATAATGTATATACCTCAGCCTACCTAGACTGTTTACTAAAATAAATTGGTACATCTGTTGATTGTTTATATTTTTCATAATGAATTCATTCAAGATGTATAGTCTATTTATCCTCATTGTAATAATAAAATATTGTTACCATGTGACAGTTTGATTAGCCTATCTATTGTTTCATATACTGTACTGTATTCAATCACTTTACTGTATAATTTACATCTATACAAGGCTACAAAGGATTTCACTCAGGCAGTCGAGTATATAAACACTAATAATTTGTATTTACATGATACAAACAAGAACATGTTGCAGTGGTTAATTAGCATGTACAGTATAGATATTTCATATAAAACAAATTCACTAATACACAAAGTATTAAGGGCATTTCTTAAAATAATTCTAATAATTTTTCAACTACATTGTACTGTAATGGGGTAACGCAATACTATGAGAAGTGAGAAGCACATTTTGGTGGGGGGTGGAGCTCACTGTACACACTCAAGTGCTAATAATACACATAATGTACTAGCTCTATCTAGAAATCCAACATTATGTTTGTAACTCATTTTGAATGTCCTTTTACCTGAATAAACATGATCTTATCTAAGTGTAGCTGCTCACAAGAATGAAAGTGCTTAGAGCAGTACAGTACTGTACTTTGAAATAATTTTTCCTTTTATGGTAAGATTAAATAAATACAGTAATGTGAAAAAAATGAAACCTATATGGATATTATGTTTAAAATATTAAAAATGTTCACCGATTGACATATTTAGCAATAGACTTACTGTACAAATATTGTGTATGTAAATAATTCGCTATTGGGTATAAATCAAATGATTGAGTAAGTTATTGCAGGTGATGAGTCACAATAACGTGGCTGAAGAATGCTGACCAGACCACACACTAGAAGGTGAAGGGACGACGATGTTTCGGTCCGTCCTGGACCATTCTCAAGTCAGTTATGTTAATCTTTAAGAATCTTACTCAAGATCGAGTAAGTTATTCTTTAAAACACTTATAAATGTTTTCATACTGGTATTTCAGTTGTAATTATACAAATATCTTCTTAATATCCGTGACTCATGTCATTGAAATTCATGCCCAAATTAGCACCCAAATGTTTGGGCCAACCAGTCCAAATGTTTGCCCACAAGCTGGCTATCTGTTGCATTTTAAGATGGGATATTAATATGTCGGTCAGTACTGTATAACATTTGTTGTTGAACTATAAAGTTCGACCCCTCACAGGATGAGGAGGTACTGCCTTATCCCTCACAGGATGATGGGGGGGGTACTGCCTCACCCCTCACAGGATGAGGTACTGCCTTATCCCTCACAGGATGATGGGGGGTACTGCCTCACCCCTCACAGGATGAGGAGGTACTGCCTTATCCCTCACAGGATGATGGGGGGGGGAACTGCCTCACCCCTCACAGGATGAGGAGGTACTGCCTTATCCCTCATAGGATGATGGGGGGTACTGCCTCACCCCTCACAGGATGATGGGGTACTGCCTCACCCCTCACAGGATGAGGGGGGGTACTGCCTCACCCCTCACAGGATGAGGGGGTACTGCCTCACCCCTCACAGCCTCACCCCTCACAGGATGATGGGGTACTGCCTCACCCCTCACAGGATGAGGGGCACTGCCTCACCCCTCACAGGATGAGGGGCACTGCCTCACCCCTCACAGGATGAGGGGCACTGCCTCACCCCTCACAGGATGATGGGGGGTACTGCCTCACCCCTCACAGGATGATGGGATACTGCCTCACCCCTCACAGGATGATGGGCTACTGCCTCACCCCTCACAGGATGATGGGGGTGCACTGCCTCACCCCTCACAGGATGATGGGGTACTGCCTCACCCCTCACAGGATGATGGGGGTGCACTGCCTCACCCCTCACAGGATGATGGGCTACTGCCTCACCCCTCACAGGATGATGGGGGTGCACTGCCTCACCCCTCACAGGATGATGGGGGTGCACTGCCTCACCCCTCACAGGATGAGGGTGTAATATATACAGTATGTATATATATAATATATATATATATATATATATATATATATATATATATATATATATATATATATATATATGCATATATATATATATATATATATATATGCATATATATATACATATATATATATATATACATATATATATATGCATATATATACATATATATATACATATATATATACATACATATATATACATATATATATATATATACATATATATATATATATATACATATATATATACATATATATATATATATACATATATATATATATATATATATATATATATATATATATATATATATATACATATATATATACATATATATATACATATATATATACATATATATATATATATATATATATATATATATATATATATATATATATATATATATATATATATATATATATATATATATATATATATATATATATACATACATATATATATATATATATATATATATATATATATATATATATATATATATATATATATATATATATATATATATATATATATATACATATATAT